GCTGCCCAGGTGGGTCTCAAACCCACAGGCTCAGGCAATCCACTCACATCAGCCTCCCAAAGGCGTGGGATTACAGGCTGAGTCACCGAGCCTGGCTGCCTTAAACTTTTTATTCAACGACTACTTCATTTTTTAATTTGACTCTTTAATTAAATATTTCTTGGTAAATAACAGTGCTTAGAACCTAAATACTGATAGGGCATGGTGGCTCACACCTGTAATCCCAGCACTTTGGGAGGTGGAGGTGAGAAGATTGTCTGGGCCCAGGGGTTCAAGACCAGCCTGGGTAAATTGGCAAGACCTCATCTCTACAATAAATCAAAAAATGAGTCGAACACAGTGACCCACACCTGTGGTTCCAGCTTCTTGGAAGACTGTGGCAGAAGGATCGTCTGAGCCCAGTATATTGAGGCTGCAGTGGCTGAAGTGGCTGAGAATGTGCCACTGCACTTCAACCGGGGGGACAGAGTGAGATTCCAACTCAAAAAAAAAAAAAGAACCTAAATACTTAGTGTTAGGAAAAAAAGAAATGAACTGTTCTAGATTAAGAGAGACAAAAGAGTTAACAAACAACTCTAGCCAGGCTCGGTGGCTCAGCCTATAATCCCGCGCCTTTGGGAGGCTGAGGTGAGTGGACTGCCTGAGCCCGCGGGTTCGAGACCCACCTGGGCAACTTGGCGAGACCTCATCTCTACAATAAATCCAAAAATCAGCCGGGCGTGGTAGCGCATGCCTGTAATTCCGGCTACTCGGAAGGCTGAGGTGGAAGGATTGCCAGAGCACAGCAGGCGAGGCTGTGGTGGCCGGGAGCGACCACTGCACTCCAGTCTGGACAACCAAGTGAGACTACAACTCAAAAAAAAAAAAACAACAAAAAAAAAAACCAAACAAACAATTCTAACTCATAACCCTTGGTTGCAAAAGATATGTTTGAGACAACTAAAAAAAAAAAAAAAATATATATATATATATATATATATAAACTGAATATTAAAAGATACTTAGGGAACAATTAATTTCATCCAAGTATTTAGGATCAAATATAATGATAGCTGTAATTGAGTTTAAATAATTCAAGCAGAAATTTTAAGTTAAATATGGTACAATGCTTATTGTATGTAATATGGACTATACCAGTGTCTCAATTTTCTTAAAATCTTGACATTTTTCCATTATTAAAAGAAAATCACAGGCTAGGCTTGGTGGCTCAGCCTAAAATCCCAGCACTTTGGGAGGCCGAGGCGAGTGGATTGCCTGAGCCTGCAGGTTCGAGATCACCCCGGGCAACTTGGCAAGATCTCATCTCTACAATAAACAAAAAATTAGCCAGGTGTGGTAGCATGCGCCTGTAGGTCCAGCTAATTAGAAGGCTGAGGCGGAGGGATCGCCGGAGCCCTGCAAGTTGACCATAAGTGTGCCAATGTACTCCAGCCTGGACACAGGTAGACTCCAACTCAAAAAAAAAAAAAAGTAGTAAATCACAACACTGACTATAATAGATTATTTTCAAATGGGGATTATAGCTTTGATCTCAGTACAAAATTTTTATGATGAATAAGAAGCCTTCTACTAACATAGTACCATTATCTCTTATACCACCAAGATTATAATATCACCTCAGAGGGGTTCTCAAACTTTCACCTGTAGAGCTAATTAAAACAATTTCCTGGCCAGGCATGGTGGCTTACACCTGTAATCCCAGTACTTTGGGAGGCAGAGGCAACAAAATTTCCTGAGCCAAAGTGTTCCAGACCAGCCTGGCAAGATCTCTCTATACAATAAACCAAAACTTAGCTGAGCATGGTGGCACATGCCTGTAGTTCCAGCTACTTGGAAGGATGAGGTAGAAGAATCACCTGAGCCCAGCAGGTCAAGTCTGTAGTGGCCATGAGTGTGCCACTGCACTCCAGCATGGACAACAGAGTGAGACTCCAACTAAAAAAAAAAAAGAAAAACTTTCCTGGGCCCCATTCTAAGTGAATGTGATTCAACAGGTAATGGCCCATTAATCCGCATGTCAATGTAGCTGGTCTGAGAGCCATATTATGAGAATCACCTCCTTAAGGCAATCCCAACCATGTTTCATTCTGCTCAGTATTCTATCTCTTTGGTAGTGATACTGATATGAAGAAATATCTTAATAAATTGTAACACAAAATGTTGGGAAACCATTTATTAACCATTTTGGATTGATAATATTAATCTAAAGTATAACCTCTTTAATCATATTTACAACTTTGGTATCTCTTGGGGAATAAAAGACCAGCTTACTCTTTTGTAGGGGGCTGATGATATCTTAGGTACATGACAGCTCAGATCAGGCAGAAAAGTGAGACACAGGTCAAACATCCAAATCCGAAAATTCAAACTGCTCCAATATTTGAAGCTTTTCTCCCCCCTCCCTCTGTCTCAGGCAAATCTAAAATTTTCTGAGTGCCAACATGACACTCATTGAAGCACTTCAGATTTCAAATTTTCAGATCTGGGATGCTCAGCTGGCAACTATAATGCAAATATTCTAAAGTCCAAAAAATCTGAAATTCAAAAGACTTCTCATCCCAAGCATAGGAGACAATCAACCTATAGTAGAGAAAAGATGTCAAGAGGTATTCCTAAAGAATGAGCAATGGGACAGAATATTAAAACAAGGTGTCTATTAGCAACAAAATTCTACATTAAATCAATGCTTATCAGTCATAGTAAAAATATGGGTGCTTTATCCACTTGCTACAAACATCAACAAATTTTTTTTTTTTTTTGAGTCCGTCTCGCCTTATCTCTTAGCTGGAGTGGCACACTCATGTCTACTGCAATCTTGACCTGCTTGGGTTCAGGCGATCTTCCCACTTCAGCCTCCTGACTAACTGGGACTATAGACACATGCCATCAAGTTCAGCTAATTTTTTGGTTGATTATAAAGACGAGGTCTTGCCAAATTGCCCAGGTTGGTCTCAAACCCCTGGGCTCAGGCAATCCTCTTGCCTCTACCTCCCAAAGTACTGGGATTACAGGCATGAGCCACCACGTAAAGCATCATCATTATTACAGTTTTAAGATCAACTGATAAGCAAATTCAAAGAAAAGCAAAAAGTAAATAGTTAATTTATATTGGGAGAAAGAGGGGTTCTCAAATTAGCATCCTTACTCTGAGAACCTGAGATGATCTAAGACACAAGACGTATAGTGGGACTGCAAGTTAAAATGGCAACAGATACAATAGACTAGACTGGGCACAGTGGCTCACACCTGTAATCCCAACATTTTAGGAGGCCAAAGTGGGAGGACCGCTTAAGAGTAGGAGTCTGAACCGGGCTCGGTGGCTCAGCCCGTAATCTTGCGCCTTTGGGAGGCTGAGGTGAGTGGATTGCCTGAGCCCACGGGTTCGAGACCCGCCTGGGCAACTTGGCAAGACCTCATCTCTACAATAAAATCAAAAATAGCCGGGCATGGTAGTGCGCGCCTGTAGTTCCAGCTACTTGGAAGGCTGAGGCAGAAGGATCGCCGGAGCCCAGCAGGTCGAGGCTGCAGTGGCCGGGAGCGGCTACTGTACTCCAGTCTCGGCGACAGAGTGAGACTCCAACTCAAAAAAAAAAAAAAAAAATCGTAGGAGTCTGAGAATACCCTAGGCAACAGTGAGACCTGATCTCTATAAAACATCCAAAAATTAACCAGGCTTGTTGGTGCATACCTATAGTCCCAGCTAATTAGAAGCCTGAGGCGGAAGGATTGCTAGAGGCCAGGAGGTCGAAGTTATAAGCTGATTGTGCCACTGCACTCTAGCCTAGGTGACAGAGCCAAGACCCTAACTCAAAAATAAATAACACTAAAACTAAATATCACCAGTACCTAGCATATTTCCTGCCTGGCTCATAATAGGTACTAAATAAATATTTTAGCTGGGTGTAGGGGCCCACATCTGTAATCCCAGCACTTTGGGAGGCCAAAGAGAGAGAATTTCCTGAGTCCATAGGTTCAAGATCAGCCCGGGCAAC